AGGAAATGGTTGATCTCCAGGTGGTGTCTACAGAAAGACAGAGTGCAAATCAATGCAGTGAGCAAAAGGGCAAAAAAGAAGCCAGGCCTAGGGAGTCAATCACCATCTGAGCACCATTTGAACTGCTTTATCACAACAAGGGTCTAATGGAGAGGGTGACAAATGGCCACATAGAGATCATATGTCATAATAACCAATAGAAAACCATCAGTGTGATCAAGTGTGACAAAAAAGAATATTTTGGTCTTATTGCCAGCCAATTGGGATGGCATTCTGGGGGCCAAAGATGTCAGAAAGCATTAAAGGTACTATGATTGTGGCATAACAGATCTCAGGTAAGAACAGTTTGGATAGGAAGAAATACACAAGTGTGTGGTGAGAACTGTGAGTGCTCACAAGCTCAGGGGTGGCAGTATTGTTAGTTGATGGATTAGGACTTTGCTTGTGTCATCCACCAATGCCTCACAATATCGTGGAGATGGACTGGACTTCTTAAAGACTATGCCAGTGAAGGACAAACTCTGAAGGATCTCAACATGGTAGAAAGGCTTTGAGGACAGACTCTGTGTTAGATCATATGCTTATTGCTTTATGAGTAATTGTACAGTGGTTCATAACCCATTGATGGACTTTTCAGCCACAGCAAATCTAAGGTATAAAGGGGTTCCAATTTAACTTAATAGAACCCAAAGGGACAAAAACCACCAGTCTTTAAAGTGCTGAAGAATACATATGTGCCAATGTCACATAGACTCAACCAAATTCCCTTTATCCATCTTCTCTTATGATCTGTACCCCTCTTTTTCATCCTATGAGAAACCTTACAAGGGAAATACACTCTATGATGTTTCCCTGTAAGTGTACTCTTCATACCTTCTCTCTCTTGCCCTTCTGATGGGTAAACCCACAGATGATCTGTAATTTCCTCAGCTGAGGGAATTCCTGTTGTGAGAGTTACTTTTAACAAATTAAATCTCACCCATCTATGATTTAGCAGATAAGTTCTGGGGAGCAGTTTGAGGCATATAGAGGTGACTTCCCACTAATGACATTTTCAACTCAGTAATAAGCATTTATTAAATGCTTACTATGTGCTAGGTACTGTATTAAGTGCTTGGGATGCAAATACAAGTATAATGAAAGAGTCTCTACCCTGAAGGAGATTACATTCTAATGGGGAAGAGAAGACATAAAAGGGAGTTGAAAAGTTGGCTAGTGAGTATAGAAGGAAGGTTCCCACATGAGGACATGGTGGTGAAGTCCAAAGAGTCAGAAGTAGAGCTGGGAAGGGAATGAAAGTTGGCTGGCATGGGCCCCTTCCCCAAATAAAGGCATTGGGAAGAACTCCCTAATGAGAGAAGGGGACCGGAGAGAAAGAGGTATCTTCCAGAATGAGAACACCCCAGACATTGAAGCAATTGCCACGGTGAATTTCTGAGGGATCAATGCTCATACCAAAAATCTGATATTCAGATGTTTGAGCTCACTCCAGCATATCCCTGGACTTTTAGATAGAGTACAGGGATTAGAAAGGTTTTAGATTCCCTGACTTATAAGATAAAACAGAATCTTTCAACCCAGAGGGACCTTTAAATATGGAGCACAAAATGTCAGTACTATAAGGGGACCTTATTGATCACTGAGCTCAAACTCCTCTTAACAGAAGAGGAATCTTTGATCAAGGGGAGTCAAGTGACTTGCCCCCAATCCCCCAGAGAATTGGCAGTGGTGCTGGGAACAGAGCCTTGTTCTCCTGACTTTCATTGCAAGTTCCTTTCCTTTGCATCACTCACCTGGCACACACTCGATTTTTGTGCACTTGTGAAAGAAGTTTAATACACATAAAACAATTGTGATGTATTGCAACAGGAAGTAGGTTAGAAGCCCAAGTTTTCCCTGTGCCCACTGTGTGACTTTCTGAAAGCCATTTAAATGCTCTGCCTCCTTTTCCTGTCAAAGGAAGATCTTCAATTAGTTGCTTTCTAAGCTCCCTCCCAGATTTTAGTATATTGTCTTAGTGAAATATGCCTTCTGTGAACTTGCGGAACATCATTTTCTTTGACTAAATGGATTTCTTTTCTTGTAAAATGAGGAGGTTTAATAGATTATCTCTAATATCCTTTCTAGCTCTCAGACCTAAGGTTTCAAGGCAGACAACAAAATGAAAAGTGAAATGACATCCTCTTGCCATTTTCCTATTTTGAATCTACCATCTACATGGAGAAGAGATGCTCCTTGCACAGCCTCTCCCACCCCCAATCGCTGGAAAGTTTCCTTCCTCTCTCCTTCCTCTTCATTTTGGGTTAAATGAAATGGTGTTCCATGACCTTCAAAGTAGATAAGATCTCTTCAAAAGGAAGAACCCTATCTGGTTTGTGGGCTCCTTGTCTCTGCTCCCTGGAAGGCCCTCATACAGGTGAAGGTGGAGAAAGAGGTTCTACACTCCTCTAGGGCCTTAAAGAACCAACAATTTGCAGATGTGACAGTGGAAGGAACCAGAGGGGATATAGGGTATCTCCCAAGAATATTCAAAAGCAACAAGATTAATCCCAGATGTTTCCATGAACAATCCACTCATGTCAGGTACTCTCTTCTTATGAGAGTCCTCTTTGAACACTCTCAAGAGAATGGCTTCCGCAAATCAAAGAACTTTCCAGTGACTCGTTCAAACTGGATCTGCTGAGAGATTTAGAAGACAGGCCTGGATTTATGGGCTTTATGATGAGTGGAGGTGGGAGGGCCTGAGGCCTCTTTCCATCTATAGACTTACAGCACTTCTCTGTCCTCCCATGCTTCATGACTTGAGTTGATTGGTGCCATTTGCATGTCCCTGTCCAGAAGCAATCACAAAGGATGCTCTTTGTATGGTGCTTGGCAGAATAATACCACTTACCAGATACCGCCTCTTGACTCCATTCTTGGATCTCAGCCATTTCATGGGCTCCCTCAGCAGGCAACCCAAAGTATCACTACTCTTCTCTAAGCTTAGTGTTGTGAATCTATGGCCAGCCCTTCTAAATCTTCTGTGAAGTCACTTCTTTGTGTTCTGAAACCATTGCTATAAAATTTGAAACAACTTATTACCTGACAGTTGCTAGTATTTAGAGAAAGATTTGGGCACCCAGATGGTGCAGTCAATAGAGTGCTGGGCTGGAGACAGGAAGGCCTCAGTTCAAATCCTACTTCAGTCATTAGTTGTGTGACTCTGGGCAAGTCACTTCACCCTGTTTGTCTCACTTTTGAGTTGAAGATGGAAATGGCAAACCACTCCAGCATCTTTGTCAAGAAAACCTCCAAAGGGGTCATAAAATGTCAGACATGACAGAAAAAAGAACTAAATAGCAAAACCAGAGAGATTTAAGGTTTGGGAAGTACTTTATATATGTTTACTCAATGTTCTGAAATATTAGTAGAGTAATTAATAATTCATACCATGAATTTCAAAATAATTATTAATAGTTAACATTATTCCTATTTACTAATATTAATGTGGACAGCTAGATGGCACAGTGAATAGAGTGCTGGGCCTCAAGTCAGGAAGACTTATCTTCCCAAGTTCAAATCTGGCCCCAGACACTGACTAGCTATATGACCTTGGACAAGTCACTTAATCCTGTCTACCTCAGTTTCCTCATCTTTAAAATGAGCGGGAGAATTAAAGGGCAAAGCCACTCCAATATCTTTGCCAAGAAGACCCCAAATTGGGTCACAAAGAGTCAGACATGACTGAAACAATAGAACAACAATAATAATATTAATATAGCAAAGATAATTATCATTACCTTGAAATCCAGAACCAGACTGGCAGAAAACAAAAGTTCTCTGAAAAACTGTAGGGTTCTACACAAAGATAAGATAGTTGAAGTAACAATCTATAGGACTGCAAGGGACCTTAGTGATCACTGATTCCAACAACCTCATTTTAAATGTGGGAAAATGGACTATCAAAAGTGTAAGTAATTTGTCCTAGTTAACGTGGGGAAAAAAATAGAGAGAAAATTTCCACTGAGAACCACTGACTCCACATCTGCGGTCCATTCTATAATATCATGTCTTCATCATGGAATGGGAGGGGTTGCTGGGTGCACATGTATGTCTCCTCCAATATCCCTATAAACTGATGTTATAGATGATTGGCTTGTTTTACAATCAATATTCCCATTTTATACTTTTCTGTAGACTAACTAGATATATCCCTGACAATGGAAAATTTTATTAGAAGAATATTAGTTATTTAGAACATTATTATATTTTAGTTCAGACTGTTAACTTTATCTGTGTCAGAAGTTGTTTTCCATTAATGTAAATAGATACATCAGCCATAACTTATTATCTTAAACCTTTTGAGAGATACTGCATGTTAAGTGATTTGTTGAGTATTCTAGAGTTAGTATGTGTCCCAATGTGTGATATTCTTTAATGCTGCTGCTACTGTTGCTGGTGCTAATGAAGCAGGCTCCTTTCTGTGGGCAGATTTTTCTGGCTCCCTCCTCAGGAGGCAGACTTCATGGTGGCAGACTCTTATTTGGCCCTAGGATGGGTGAAGGGCACGGCCAAATACCAAGCTTGATCAGTATGCAGTCAAGGAACCTGAAGGCCACACTCAACTCTGCCACTTTCTAGCTCTGTGACCTTAATGAAGTCATTTCCCTTCTCTGGGCCTCTGCTCTCCTTTGTAAGAAAAGGAGGTTGGAATATATAACCTCTAAGGTGCCTATCAGCTTTATTCAATGATCCTTTCATGCTATATTCCCTGAGTAGACAATTGCTACAGTGAGGGATACACGGGGAACACAGGGTGTCACTTTAAAAGGGGATAATTCTGTTTACAGAAAAGTTTGTATTTTAATCCACATTTGTTCTTCTGGGGGTAGAGTCTCAAAAAACTCCAATAGTGATATGGACCTGATCCATCAGTCAGTGGACAAACATTTATTGAGCACATACTATGAAGCTGAAGAAACTAAGGAAGGACAAATTGTGACTCCTACCCTCCTCCTTCACAGATTCCCAGAAGCAGCCTTTTTGCTTACGGCTTTTTTCAAAGCATTTTTGACATCCATGTTCCTTAACATATAAATGATGGGGTTGAGGAGGGGAGTGACAAAAGTGTAGACTAAGGCAAGATGCCAGTCCTCATCTGCATCGGTGGTTGATGGGGGCCTAAAGTAGGCCAGGCTGCTGCAGCCATATTGTAGCAGGACCACAGTGAGATGAGAAGAGCAGGTGGAGAAGGCTCGCTGGCACCCCTCAGCTGAGGGGATGCGCAAGATGGTGATAGTAATGAAGACATAGGAGATGCAGATGAGAAGGAAGGGTGCAGTCAATACAATCATGCTTATCACATAGAGGACGACCCGTAGCACATGAGTGTCAGCACAGGCCAGGTGGAGTACAGGTGGTACCTCACAGAAGAAATGGTTGATCTCCAATAAATGTCCACAGAAGGGCAAGGTAAAGACCAATAATGTGAGTGGCAGTGAAAGGAAGAGAGCCAAGCCTAGGGAACCAGTCAGCATTTGGGTACACAGCTGTGGGGTCATGATGAGAGTGTATTGCAGGGGATGGCAGATGGCCACATAACAGTCATATGCCATGACAGCCAGTAGGAAACAGTCAGTGCTGGCCCGGGTGGAAAAAAGAACATCTGGGTAGCACAACCAGCCAATGGGATGGGTTTCCTAGCCCCAGTGATGTTGGAGAGCATCGGTGGTACCAACGTAGTGTGTAGCAGATCTCCACAAAGGACAAGCTGGACAGGAAGAAGTACATTGGTGCATGTAGTGAGGTGTGGGTGTAGGTGGCCCAGATGATGGCAGTGTTACTGCAGAGGATCATCATGTAAAGGAGGAGGAAGAAGCAGAAGAGGAGGGCCTGGATCTTGGGGGAAGTGGTGAGCAACCAGAACACAGACTCAGTGGGGCCAGACTGATTAGGATAGAAAGTGTTGGGAGAAAACATTTCATATCTGTAAAGAGAAGTACAAAGTTAAACTGAATAACCAGTAATTGAATAACCTAGAGAAAAGAAGAAACTGTTTTATTCTTACAATGGTAGAATCATAGCAATATGGAGATTCAAGGGTCTTTAAAGATTGCCTTTGGCAAGTTTCTTCATATCTCTCTGTATTTTTAAAGTTCTGAAAATAAAATTCAATTTATTCTGTTTTTTTAAAAAGCAAGAAGTGTGGAATGGAGATCAGTGCTTTCATATGCAATCCTCTTTTGTGTTCTGCTGTGTACATACTAATGCTCTGTGTGTGTGTGTGTGTAGAAGAGAATTATGCTCAGAGTAAAATAAAATGGTGATTTTCTTTGATTATGTAAAATGTGGAATCATTCTCTTCTTTTAGGTTTCTTTGTTGGGCATTCCTGGCTCTTTAATATTCTTTTGACATTGACTGCTTTTTCTGATTACTTGTTTTTTCTATCCTATATGATTTTTTTTTAAAAAGCTTTTTTAAAAAAAGTTTTTCTAAAATTTATTATAAATACAAGGTTATCTAGCCTCTTATTAAGACATGCAGACAACAGATTCTATAATCTCTGGCCTAAATTTTTCTAATACTATCTCTACAGTGTTTTAAACCCCATCAAGAAAATACTCGATGTATTTAAATCTTATAATTTCAGATGTAAGGATACCAGTGAGTGGATAGGTCTCTCAACTTTTTTCCAGAGGCTCAGAGCTTTCTCTCAGAGGTGATGCTTAATGGGACTTAAAGGATTAAGAACAATTTGAGTGAATAGTTTATTTTCATCAGCATGCTATTCCTTCCACAGATTACCAACACAGTTCTCAGTCAGTGTGGAACTAAGTGGGGATATGGATGGTATTAAAGAATCAACCTGGCCACCAGGCTCCATATAATACTGGCATTGCAATGATTTGCATTATTCCCCCAGAGTAACAGAACTATAGTCATAACTAAATTATACAGAAACCATCATTTAGTTGATGAGTTCTCATGTACTCTTTTGCAAATTTTATCTGACCTTCAAATGATTCCCTATATGGGACAATATTTGGATGCTTCATGTTTGCCAGCACTGCAACTTTTCTCCTTGATTTTTCTTTTCCTTTACTGGACATCCTTGAGAAATTAATTTCCTCAATATATTGTTTATAATCTTCCCTAGATTTAACAAGAATGGTTTTTCCAAATGATCCTTCCCCAATCTTTTGGAGTTTACAGTATTTATCCATGGTGCTTTTCTTAATATATCCTTATACACATGCAAGGCAATAAAGGAATTCTGCTTCTTGGGCCAAGTTTCACTCACATCAGATGATGTGAGGCAGGCCAGCTTCCTGGTGGCTGCAGTGTCCATCCTCCATCTCTCTTCGAGTTAGGGCTTCTTCAACTTCCTGGCCCACCTGCCTTGCTGCCCCGGTTCCACAGAGTTTGGGCAGCAGTGGCACAATGTGTGCCAGGCCTGAGCACCTCTCCTGGACCCACCCAGAGAGAAGGGGGAATGCACTGGAGGTGTTATAAAGGTAGAAATGGTAGCATTTGACAACTAATTGTATATGAGAGGTACCTTACAACTGTAATATTCTGTGTTTTAAAGTTATTTATAATTCTGATGTTCTTCATTCTATGTTTGAAGGTATTTTCTAGTTCTTATTTCTAAATTCAATAATCTGGAGTCTCCTTTGATATTCTAAATGACCCCTTTTAAGATCTCAGCTCTGATGTTCTGACATGATGTTAATTTTTTTATGACTCAGAATACTTTATTTATCTTTATTTGAGCTCCATGGTAATTCAAAAAATTAGCTTGATTCTCATGGGTTAAAAATGAATGAAAATGCCTGCTATATAGACTATTAATTTTTATAGATGATGAATTCAAAATTCAGGTATGTAATTGCCTTGTCCAAGGTTACCTAACTAATAGGTATTGGAACTCACATTTAAACCCAAGTCTCCTATCTCTATGCCCTGTGCTATATCCACTACAAAAAGCTTTTACTTCTAGGACTTATATGAAAGAACTTGAGTGGGCAAAAATCTTTTCCAGACACCATTCAAAGAATTTACCAAAAATCAGAATGCTACTTTTCCTTAAAACTTATCACCTCCTTTGGGAGTACAACATTATGTTCTAGAGACTAAGATGAAATTAGCTCTTACCTGACAGAAGCTCTGCTGCAGGACAGAAACAATTGTAGACTAATGGAAATAGATCACATGACTGTAGAAGAACTTTGGGTCATCACTGTTTGTGAAGGAAGAGGAAGAGGAGGAGGAAAGAAAAAAAAATAAGAAAGGAAAAAAGCAGTTAGTAAAAATAATTACCAATAATGTCACTTTGCCCTATAAGTATAATCTTTGCATCAAGGCTCTGATAACCATCATCAAACTGAAAATGTTATAGAAGTTCAGAGTAGGAAGAGAAGGCAGGAGCTCTCTAGGCCCATCCATACTGGAACAATATCCCATCTGCCACAGTCTCTAAAAGAGATCCTCTAGACTTTGCTTAAAGCCATTAAATGGTAGAGAACCTAATGCTTTCTGAATTAGCTGCTTCCACTTTGGCAAGGCATTAATAATGAGAAGGCTTTTGCTTACACGGAGATGAATTTCGTGTTTATCCAATTTCCACTCATTGGTCCTTTTCTGCCCTCAAGCCGTATAAATCTAATGCTTTTTTCAAAGAACAGTTCTTTAAATACTTGAAGAGAGTTACCACATCTCTCCTAAGTCCTTTAAAACATGTTAAAAGCACTTGTCTAGCATTATAAACTTGGCTGTTGGTAGCTACTATGCTACTTGCCATCTCTGTGAAATGGGCAAGCCAGCTCCCAACCCTAAGATTCAGATATCTCCTCAGTAAGATGGAGTTTCATTAGATCAAACCTAATGTGTCTTCTAGCTTTCCTGCTTGTGATCTTGTCTATTCTCATTGCCCTTCCCCATCTATAGAATCTGAAGATCATGGATGGGGAAGGTCCTCCTACTGGGAAACAGAGTGTTTTTTGAGGCTCCACCCACTGGAATACATGGGCCTGACTCCCAAAACTGGGTTGTGAACCAAAACCCAGGAGAAACTGAGATTGTGACAACACATTGGATTCAAGTACGGGATTGCTGGATAGATGCAAACAGCGAATGACAAGGGCATCATACATAAGTAGGGCAAGAGAGAAAACTTCAAGTATTTGAAGGTCTGGCACATGGAGGATGGATTTGATTTATTCTAGTTTATTCCAGAAATAGAACTCAGATCTTCAGGCTGAAATTGGAGAGAGACAAATTTAAGTTTGGTGAACTTATTCAGTTGTGTCCAACTCTTGTGACCCTGTGAACCACAGCAATCAATATTGTCTGTGGGCATTGTTTGGCAAAAGTACTGGAGTGGTTCGCCATTTCCTTCTCCAGTGGGTTAAAGTCAGCAGCGTTTAAGGACTTGCCCAGGGTCACACAGTTAGTAAGTGGCTGAGGCTAGATTTGAATGTAGGTTTTCCTGACTCCAGGCCCAGAACACTATCCACTGAGCCATCTAGCTGCCTCTGGTGAATTGTGTCTAATGGTAGCCATCTCTCGAGTGAGGGGGGATGGAATGAAAAAGGAAAAAAAGAAATTCACATCATAACTTCATTGTATGTTATTTGGATGAAACAGCAAGTTGTACATGGTAGATTTACTGTTTCGTGTGCAACCATCAATTTTATCATATCGAGTAATGGAAAGGCTTGTTTTGTTCTGTAAGTTGAAAACAAAATAAATTTAAAAAATTAAATTATATATATGCATATATATTAAAAATAAGAAGGCATGGGTCACTAATGATTTGGACTGAAGGAGGAACAATCATATTCACAAATCTTGGATCCATTGATGTGTGGGAGCACAAGCATTCCTATTATGATCAATTTACATTTGGTGATTTAATAGACGGTGTTTCATAGATGGAGGCTCTTTTGTCCCAGCTAAACTCCTCAACTAAACATAATTAATGAATGAACGAATATTGGAAATGCAAAAAAAAAAAAGTTTGGAAATAAAACTTCCTAGAAATGAGTCATTCCAAAATCAAATGCCAGAGGTTTGCTGACCTTTTTGGAGAGATCTTTTTGAGAAGATTTCTACTCACACATGTGTTGGCTAAGATCTCTACATTAATTCCTACCCATTTATCTCTCGGATTCTATGGAACTGTGGAAAGACTGTTGACATCATTGGGTTCTGCTACTTTACTTCATAGATGAGGAAAATGAGGTCCAGATTTGTGTAGTCATTATCCTGAGGCCACGGAGCTGGTTAGTTTTGCAGTGATGGTTTGAACTTAGGTCACCTTATACCCAATTCAATGTGCTGTTTGCAGCTGATCACAAGGAGTGGCCACTCTGTCTCTTTGTGGAAAGAGCATTGAACTGGAAACCGGGTTATAATCCCAATTCTGTTATTAACTAGCTGCATGACCTTAGGCTAAGTGTTTCCCTTATTTTCTTAACCTAGAAAATAAAGGACATGGACTAGATAATAACTTCAGCCAAGAGAGTAAAGTAGGCTTTCTTTCAAAAACTATGTGAGAAATGAAAGGCAGGCATTTACTTCCACTAATCAGACACAATTATCTTCTCCAGGAAAAGGGAAAAACAGTCCATAGGAATCCCCTCCTTCTTTGGGAAGTAACTGTTTCTTTGTGGAAAGAGTATAGAGTTGGATAGTAATTCCAATTCTGTTACTAATGATCTGTATGAACTTAGACTAAACATTTCTCTCTTCTGGCCCTCAGTTTCCTTGGCTGTAATATAGAGGGACTATACTAGATGGTCTCCAATATTTCTTTTAAAATTCCGTAATTTCACCACCCATATTCCTTCTGCTCTGCCTACTAATCAGCAGTATAAACAAAACAGATGATCTCTGGAACATTGATGAGTGTTGGAATGGAGCTGTATAGAAACTTAGGTATGATGGATATACCCAGTCTCCAGGAGAAGAGTGACTTTCATATGATGAAATTGTATAGATCATGGAATTCTATCTTCTCCCTACTAGTGTCTGTGTTTTTATCATCACTTAACCCCCTTAGGAAATTAATAACAGATGGCCAGCCTGAGAGTTTCACTGGTGTTACCCAAATACGAGAAGCTGTTCAGTTGTGTCTGATTCTTTGTGACTCCCTTGACAATATTGTCCTTGGGTTTTCTTGGCAAAGATCCTGGAATGGTTTGCCATTTCTTTCCCCAGTATATTAAGGCAAACAGAGGTTAAGTGACTTGCCCAGGGTCACACAGCTTGTAAGTGTCTGAGGCAAGATTTGAATTCAGGTCTTCCTGACTCCAGGCCCAGTACTGTATCCACTGAGCCACCTAGCTAATGTGAGAAAATGTAAAATCTTTCTTGTGTCTTGGACCTATTGGGCAGTCAATCTGGTGAATTCAATAAATTCTTTCTCTGAGTAATAATTTCAAATACATAAAAGGAAATGCATTGGATTATAAAGGAAAAATTATATTGCTATACAGTTATCAAAATATATTTTAAAAGTTTATAGGCTCAGGATTAAGAACCCCTGACATGGTAGATTGTCTCCAGTATTATTAGGAGTTCCTTTTTAAAGGGAAAATATGGGAAAGAATGACAGCATCAAAAGGTATTGATGAGTTTGTCATTTATACCTGTATAGGTAAGGTCACCCACCCAAGAGACCAAGGATTCATTAAAAGAATCTTTTAGGAGGAGGATTCTGAAATCTGGCTTTATGGACCTCCTAAGTGAGGTAGATTTTCTGCAAATTAAGGGCATGGGAGTGCCCTAACCCTAGTCCTGAGGGAAAATTTTTTTTTTATAGATTTTTGACTTGTATATACATTCTCTCAAGGCAGGCAGACTCAATGGTGTTTGCTGAGACTGTGGACTCTAAGGATGTAGCGGATTAATTACAGAAGGGGATGGTAAAGATTGACATACAATTTGCTCTCTGTCTGTCTAATATCTCATGCATGAAACTAGTATAAAGTTTTCTCAAGATAGTCTGAGTCAACTTGAGAGCTCAAAAACAATTGGTCCACAAGTATATGTTTCATATTGCTACCTTATAGTCAGCACAATATATTGTCCTATGGTAGATAAAGGGAACAGGAAGGCCTGAACTTTGCTCTTCTGGACTCAGAATCAAGCAAAATATAAGCTAGCATACCTGCCATATCTAAATCTATGATCCCATGATCCTATGATCTCTATAACCTTGGGGAATTAATTTCCTCTCTCTGGGACTCATTTTCCTCTTTGGCAAAAAAAGAGGCATTTAGAGAATTATTGCTGTTTCATTAGACTGCTAAATCCTGGGATCCCAATCCAGACAATTCAATGAAAAGAGTCAAATGGCATAGCCTTACCATCTTCCATGAATCTGACCCCACCAGTCATCTAGGGAAAAGCTCTGATCTGAAGGCTGACTTTTGTTCTGAGATCCTCCCTGGATGGTCCTTCTGGAGAACTCACCTCCTCTCTCCTTCCTCTTTACTTTGGGTTAGCTGAAAAGTATGGAGTTCTCTAGAAAGGAGAGACCTTGGCCAGTGGACAAATTCTTTATCTCTGCTTTCAAGTTGAACCTCATACAGATGAATATTGGTATTGTCTTTGGGGTCTCTTAATACTTGAGAATCTTGGAAAGTAGACATTTTGAGGGTGTAGTACTTGGGGGTACCATTTGGACTTCTTGGCCTGGGTTGTGGGTATTGGATAAGCAACAGAAAACCTAGCAAAGACGGTTCATGGCATTTCCACATACACTCTGGTCATGTCTGTTTCAGTCAGTTTATTAGAGAACTGTTTGAGATCTCTCTCAGTGGAATGGGTCCCTGGAGTAAAGGGTTTTCCCAATAGCTCCCTCTAATTGGACTTGACTGGAGAATTGGTGAAATTCTTTTGAGTTAAGAAAAACAATGACAAGCTAAATGGTTCAGCAGACCTGTTCAGCACCAGATCATCTCTCATCTCTGGTGTGCTGGTAAAAATCAAAGTTCGTGTCTGGGGCCAGTGGAAGGGAATATTTTTCTTCTGCCTTCATCTTGGAAATAACCTGTGTTCCAGAAAATCTCAGTAGTGGGAAATGATGTAGACATAAGCACGTGCCAAGACAGTATTCATGGCAGACTTTTGATATAGTAGGCAGAGCTCTGAATTGGGAGTCAGGAGACCTGGGTTCCATCCCCAGCTCTTCCATGAACAATTTGTGAGACCCTGGGAAATCACTTAACTGTTTTAGTAGAATTGGGCTATAGAAGCAACCTGGTTCAGATACTGCCTGAATGCACCAAATACAACAAACATTAATTAAGGTCCAAATAATAAAATATGAAATAAGATGCTGATCTTGACCTCAGGTAGCATACCATCTAATTTTCTGTAGTCTCAGACCTCAAAATACTTATATGTTTAAAATGAAGTTTATCTCAAATTGGTCAATACAGAAAGAGTGTTACCTGTCTCTGTCTGTTTTAATATGACTGAGTTTTTTTTTCAATCATTTAGAATCCCCTTTCAATCTAATGTTGGCCTTGGTGAGCTTCTCTATGGTCTACTTCTCCAATTCTAGCCTTTGGTGTTTGGAGCAACTGGTGTTACAGTGGACAGAGTGCTGGGTCTGAAGTCAGGAAGACATGAGTTCAACTCTAGGCTTAGACACTTACTAGCTCTATGTCCTTGGACAAGTCATTTAACTTCAGTTTCCTTATCTGTAAAATGAAGATATAATAGCACCTACCTCTCAGGGTTATTGTGAGGATAAAATGATATAAATATAAAGTGTCTGGCACATGGCAAGCACCATATAAATGTTAGCCATTAATATTGTGTAAGGAATGTAAAAAAGTGAAAGCCCTTTTCTGGGTGTTGGTTTCTTTTCCTATAATATAAAGGGGACTAACTAGATGATTGCCAAGATTTCTTCTAAAAGACTGTAATTTCACTCCCTATGTTCCTTATACTATGCCTACTAATTAAAAATAATCTCTGGCACATTGAAGGAGCTTGATGAGGGTTTGAATTGAACCAAATAGAAGCTTAGTTGTGACAAATTGCTGATTGAGATGGAAACAAACATTTTAGGTGCCTACTGTATACCAGACTCTGTGCTAAGGGCTTTACAAATATTATCTCACATGACCCTCACAACAACAACAAGATGCAGGTGTCATCATTTTACAGTTGAGGAAACCAGGTAAAGAGAAGCTGAATGAATTTCTAAAGGTCATACAATTAGTAAGTGTCTGAGGCTAGATTTGAACTCAAATCTTCCCAACTCCTAGTCTAGTGCTTTATCCGCTGTGCCCCCTAGCTACCTCAGAAGGTTTCTGGATTTCTTTTGTATAGGCGTGGCCTGGATCAAAACATTTATTGTAGTTTATATTTGTATTTTTTGTGGTCAATATTTTTTTTATTAATTTATTTTTAGTTTTCAGCATTCACCTCCATAAGCTTTTGAGTTTAAAATTTTCTTACCATCCTCCTTGCCTCCCTCCTTAAGATGACATGCAATATCATATAGGCTCTACATATACATTCCTATTAAACATATTTTCTCGTTAGTCTTGTTGTAAAGAAGAATTAGGACCAATAGGAGTAACCACAAGAAAAAAGAAACAAATAAACAGAAGAAAAAAAATAGCAAATAGTATGCTTCAATTTGCATTCAAACTCCACAGTTCTTTCTCTAGATGTGGATAGCATTTTGCATCATGAGACTTTTGGAGATGTCTTCAATCCTTCATTGCTGAGATGAGCTAAGTCTATCAAAGTTAGTCATTGCACAATGTGGCATTGCTGTGTACAATGTTCTATTGGTTCTGCTCACTTCACTCAGCATCAGTCCATCCAAGTCTTTTCAAGTTTTTCTGAAGTCTGCTTGCTCATCATTTCTTATAGCACAATAATATTCCATTACATTCATAAACCACAACTTGTTCATCAATTCTCCAATTGATAGGCATCCCCTCAATTTACAATTCTTTGCCACCACATACAGAGCTTCTATGAATATTTTTGTACATGTAGGTCCTTTTCCCATTTTTATGATCTCTTTGGGATACAGCCCTAGAAGTGCTATTGCTGGGTCAAAGGGTACACACATTTTTACAGCCCTTTGGGCATAGTTCCAAATTGCTCTCCAAAGTGGTTTGGTCAGTTCACAACTCCACCAATAATGTATTAACATTCCAATTTTCCCACGTCTTCTCCAACAATCATCGTTTTCCTGTTTTGTCATGTTAGCCAACCTGATAGGTGTGATGTGGTACCTCAAAGTTGTTCATTTTGCATTTCATAATGTTCTCTATCTTTTGTTTGGTCATAAATTCTTCCCTTCTCCATAGATATGAAAGGCAAACTATTCCTTGCTCTTCTAGTTTGCATATAGTATCAGTCTTTATATCTAAATCATATATCCATTTTGATTTTACCTTGATATAGGGTGTAAGATGTTGGTCTATGCCCAGTTTCTGCCATACACTTTTCCAGTTTTCCCAGCAGTTTTTGATAAATAGTGATTTCTTATTCCAGAAGCTGGAGTCTTTGGATTTATCAAATAATAGATTAGTATAGTCATTGACTGTTTTGTCTTACATACCTAACCTATTCCACTGATCTACCATTCTATTTCTTAGCCAGTACCAAGTAGTTTTGATGATTGCTGCTTTATAATACAATATAAGATCTGGTATGGCTAGGATACCCTGCCTAGTATTTCTTTTCATTAGTTCCCTTGATATTCTGGACCTTTTGTTCTTCCAGATGAATCTTGTTATTATTTTTTTCTAGCTCTATAAAATAAAATAATAGTTTGATTGGTATGGTATTGAGTAAGTAAATTAATTTAGGTAGAATTGTCAATTTTATTATGTTAGCTTGGCCTACCCATGAGCAACTGATGTTTTTCTAATTATTTCCATCTGACTTTATTTGTATGAAAAGTGTTTTGTAATTGCGTTCATATAGTTTTTGGGTTTGTTTCAGCAGGTAGACTACTAAATATTTTATAATGTCTACAGTAACTTTAAGTGGAATTTCTCTTTCTATCTCTTGTTGCTGGACTTTGTTGGTAATATATAGAAATACTGATGATTTAAGTGGGTTTATTTTATATCCTACAACTTTGCTAGAGTCATTTATTATTTCAAGTAGTTTTTCACTTTATTTTCTAGGATTCTCTATATCATCATAGCATCTGCAAAGCATGATAGATTTGTTTCTTCTTTGCCTATTCTAATACCTTTAATTTCTTTTTCTTCTCTTATTGCTAAAGCTAACATTTATAGTACCATACTGAACAACAGTGGTGATAACAGACATCCTTGTTTCACCACTGATCTTACTGAAAATACGTCTAGCTTATCCCCATTAAATATAATGCTTGCTGAAGGTTATATGCTACTTATCATTTTCACAAATTTTTATTTATTCCTATGCTCTATGGTTTTTTTTTTAATGGAAATGCATGCTGTATTTTGTCAAAAATTTTTTCTACATCTATTGAGATAATCATGTGGTTTCTGTTAGTTTTTTGTTGATGTAATCAATT